ATGAACATAAAGGGGATTAGACAAGTTCATTTATCAGCAGAGAGAAGTAAAGGTTATGATTGGTCGGGTTAAAAAAGGGGAAGTCGCAGTACCTTCTATTGACAACATTGTGCACGTGACATAACCATTGTGAAAATTCAGCTTGAGATCCAGCTTGTACAGGATTTGCTCTGTAAAGAACATGAGCAACAAAGTTCATCAACATACAGGAAGAAACTCATTAAGCTTTTTGAGCATTTTTATGGCAGCAGACTAATTGGTTTTTGCCCTTTAATGTCCACCATTGACTCAGTCGCTTGCAACTCATCTCTTTTTTCACTTGACTCTTTCGATTTATGTACACAGCCACCACCACCACCAGCATACCCAGTGTAATCTCACAACGTGGGGTATGTGGAGGGTAGAATGTAAGCAGACCTGACAGGTACAGTTTCCGAAAGACTTCCAACACAGGTAACAGATACCACAGAACATACAAAAGAAAACAAACATAACAAGTACTAGAGGAAGCATCACATATCGTATAGAAAAAGGAGACAGTAAACATCAAAGTAAAACGATAACCAAAACACACGACACAATTGGTAGCCACATAAATCACAGGTGAAAACTGCTAATACTGCTGGTACTAAGGGAGAAACAGGTAGGGCGCCAAACTACCCCAAGCCTAACCCGTAGGACAGCGAAAGGTAAAGAAAATGATGGAAAAGGAATTTGTCACGTGTCAGCAAGAACTACGTTTTGGGAGTAAAAGGATAGTTTAATGGTATGATTTTTGTGGAGACAACAATAAAGAATACAATGGAAGTCAATCACCAAGTGGGCCATCACAAAAAATAATAATTTATAACTAAGTGGCAAATTGTCCATCACAGACTAGGACATATAAAGTTAGGCCGTCGTGCACCTCAGTGTTAGGCGCAAGACACCCACGTGTGTGCATCGGTGTTCGCAAGCAGTAAACTCTGTAGTGCACTCGAAGGTGCTTTGCTTTGCCTTGCCTCACCCCAAAGCACCCTTGAGACGCGCCCCAATCACATTTTAAAAAATGCACCTAGCAAAGTCTACCACATGGGAATGTTAAGCCAATCCCATACCAAATAAGTTGAACAGTTTTAGAATTGGAAAAAGAACTGGACAATTCTGTAAAAAGAAAATATACCCCATCGCTATTGCTCTCGAGAAAGCTCATAAACTAGGTACCTTAGAACTTCTTTGAAGTGATCTGCACATTCGTTGCAAGGGTACATGCGAGATAATATTGCCATCTGCAGGCAAACAACAAAAGCAATCCTTTAGTTTCTAAAAAACCTCCATATTTTCTCCAAACCTACGAGCAGAATCCTTATGTGATACGGACCTCAAGGTCATGAAGTATATAATGGAAGAACTTGCAATAAAATGGACGCATCGATGTGTAACACTTCCCATACTGACAGTCACCTTAATTTTGTCTCATTGCTTATGAAAAGCTCAAGAAGAGAACGGAATTTTGTTCCATATGAACTAGGGACAAGGGAAAACTATTCTACCCCTAGATAATCACTATTAGCAGATTTAGCCCTCAACTTTCTAAAGTAGCTCCGTTGACCTAATGTAATATCATCTTTCAAACACAATTTTGAGATCAAGAAAAACAGTCATTTAGGGTGACTGAGCACCATACCAGTTCTTTCACATCCTTCCTTTGTTGTCTGGTTGGCTTGTCTGGATACTGGAAAAAAGGAACAAGTGAGCTCATGATCATAAAGGTCAACAGGTAAGAAATTTCAATGAGAAAAAAGTATTACTTTTGAGCACAAAAAGAAAAGAGAACTATGCGGATAAGGATTACCCTGAGGACCATTATTGTATAATTACACTTCCAAAATACATTTTCTACAACCATGGTGTCCGTGCTTAATAGACATTTTTATTAACCATCAAGAGTATCAGGTAGACTAAATATATAACAACACTGTAGGATAAAATAAAAACCAGACCATTAATTGTCAAAATAGAAGAATTAATGATCATGATCAAACAATTAGAGGGGTAACAAGTGGTTTCACTTCTCTTAACTATGGTATTGATAAAATTAATGAACATGTTTTATATCTAAATACTGTTCAACTGAAATCCCTTAACAACTTGGGCTAAAATTTCTCATTGCAAGGTTTTTAAAGCTAAGTAGAAAGAGAACTGCTGCTATAGAAAAGATGGATACTTGACCTGAGCTCCAAGTGTGTGAAGAAAAGTCCAAGTAGCTCTTCCAAGCTCTTCTTTAGTCACTGGGCTAGAACTTTTCTCCTGAGAAAGAAAGTTGGTTGATTAACAATTATGTTCACTAACTATATGTTGAGATTTTCCGTTTTAATTAAAAGGAGTGACACAAATATTATATCTTACTACATTAAAAAAATATGTGGTGTGAAAAACAAATGATTAACAACTGAAAACCAAGATATGCTGGGTTACATTATCCTGGTGAACAATGAGCACCTAACGTCTCGATCTTCCAGAACAGTTGCATACCAAAGATCTAGATGGATAAGAGATCTAGAGCAAATACCTAAGACTAATATTATTTGATGCATCAACTCCCATTTATACAATCTAAGATCAATTGTTGAACAAGATATTCCCAGTTTAAAACAACACCTCTCAACAAAAAAATCAACCGCTGCTAAACATAAATACTCCCCCTGCAGCACCAATGAAGTTGTTACAAATGAAAGAAGTAATAGCTCAAAGTAACCCAATTGCGACAATATATTCACTCCCCCTCTTATACCAAGACTTCTTTAAGAAAGCAATTTAATCACTATGTAGTCTTTTCTTTGTTGGTGGTAATTGCAAAATCCTCCTGCATTGATATTATCAACTACGTCTCAATTCCCGAACATAGTTCAGACCAACTATATAAATTCTCTATATCCGTTCCGCTATATTCAAGCCAACTCCACTTCGACAATGTAGCACACATCCAAGTAGCATGTTGCAACAAATAGTATCCAGAGCAGAGGATAAATCACAGTTAGCTATTTTTATGCTTGCATCTACATACTGTGACACTGCTTTTTTATCCGGCCTTGGAACTGGCTATGCTCTTCATATAGGTAGAGTTCGAAACCCTTCATACATTTGATTCAAAACAACAACAACATACCCATTGTAATCCCACAAGTGGGGTATAGGGATGGTAGTATGTACGCAGAACTTACCTCTACCTTTGACACAAAAGAAACATTTTTTTTCTTTTTCCTTAGTACTATCTGGTAAACACTAAGCCTCATCTAGCATATACTACTAGAGAGAACACTGACCCATAAGCAGGGGAGGGTCCGAACTCCGAACCCCCTACAGTGCCAAGTTACACTGTTCATACATGGTTAAAATCCTATTTTTTATGTATATATTAGAAATTGAACCGCTTTTGGCTTCTTTGTATGTTTACTTCTTTCATATTTTGAACCATCTTTTTGAAAATACTAACTCCTCCACTTCAAGGCACCATTGTCAATTCAGTTAAAATAGATCAAAACCCATTTCAGCAATCAAACATTTTTGAACAGTACAATTAAAAAGACACTCATATTCTCTATGAGAACTTTCATCAAACACTTGTTGTGCATTATCTGCATACCTCCACAATAACACTAAAACCACAATACCAAACTACAAAAATTATAAAATAAAATTGAAGACCCTTAAAAATACCTTCTTGGGTGATTCAGAATGTTGAAGCAGCATAGTTGAAGCAAGTTGATTCTTGGAAGAAGATGAAGAAGAGAGCAAAGACAAGGAGTGGTGATCATTATCATTATTATGAGATGATGGAACATTTGGGATTACACCTATGAATTGAGCAAGTTGGGTTTGTATAGAGTTTGATACTTTTTCGTATGTCTTGAACAGAAGCTGTAATGGATTTTCAGACATGGAGGAATTCTTTAACAAGAAAGACAATGTTCTCCACAAGTGTTTCACCTCTGTTTTTTTTTTGTTTTATCCAATTCTTTCTAGAATTTGTGAAAATAAACCAAAAGTAAGAATTATCAAAATATTTGCTCTTTCGAAAACAACTTCTCTATCTTCACGAGATAATTGTAAGATTTTTATACTTCTATCTCTCAACCCCACGTGTGAGATTTTACGAAATATGTTATTATTGTTGACTTGTTGTAAATATAAAAAAATATCAGTGAACTTTGTGAGAATGATCAAATATATCTTGTAACTTTTATTTTAATAAGAACTCTAAAAAATAAATTTAAAATCGAATTTTCACTTCCCGTCGGCCATTTGTGTATGGCAATTAATAGATCATTCTTTTAAGGATGGATATATCAAATCTAAAAGCAAGTTGATGGATATATTTGGCTCTTTTCACCTAAAATAAAAAACATGTATTCATATGAACTTTTGCTAGATTAGAAAAGTTAGTTAGTCAAATGAGAATCGTATCTTTGGGGTCAAGTGCCCGGGGAAGGGCCGCACCTCTAGGAGGTTCAATGTAAGCCACTTATCCTAACGTAATCATTATTGTCTGATTACACGACTCGATCTCATAACCTATATAGGTCAGATAATTTTACAGTTGTTCTGGGAACCTCTTTAGTAGAGCAAATTGTGAATAGCTCGACATTCTGCTAAGTTGTACTGTTGGAATAGGGAACCACTTTAGTAGGGCATTTTTGGAGGATCCAACACATATGCAACAGTATTTTAAAAAAATTCGAGCTACATTGCCTTGAAACATAGTACCCAATTCTTCATGAAGCAAAAGTTTCTTCAAGGTAAGTTGGCATGGAAAATGTGTAATTTTGCCAACCATATATTCCTATTTCTTATCAAATCAAGAACATTATCAATCAGATCCTGAGCAGAAGAAGGAAATCAATCTCTAAAACAGAATCAACAACTCGTTTAGCATCGTGAAACTATTGATCAACACAGTCATCTATTTATCGTTCTCAATTATGAACGATACATATATGTAATACATTAGAACTAATTGACTCCAAAGTTTATGCATTGGAAAAACAGCAGAGTACAACATATCAAAATCGCGATAACAGTAAGCAAAAGGTAATGTAAGGAGGCATTGTTACATTTTGCGGAATAAAAAATCGTTCAAATCTGTGTGCTCTCTATTTACAGTTACTGGAAAGAAAAAATTGCTAAAATACTAAAGGGCAAAAGGATAGTCAAAGAACCTATTTAACTGTTTCCTTTGGAGAACTCAATTGGAAGTTGAAGAGTAGAGAAACACTAGTGAAATGGATCATGAATTTCTTGCAGAATCATCGAGCATCATTCCTTTCAGACTCTTAGCCAGCCAGATAGCTGTCTCCCTTGGCGACACCTTGTCCTTACCGAATGGTTTAAGAACAACAGAGAGCTCTTCTAATCTGTTATTCTCCAGCAAGTCAGCCGATAATTCCAACAGCCCTTCAAGTGCCTCTGCTCTCTGTCTAAAAGATTTGACATCTAATATTTCCTTTACTGGTCGTTCGTCCTCCACAAGTGTTGCATTGGTCTTTGTTGTTTCCGAAGAATCTAATCTTGGACGTGAAGAGGTGGGACTGCCCTGGTTTCTTACATCCATTTCCTTATTATGGACACAATCGGATATATTGGATATAACACCCACCGATCCAGAAGTAGACGATTTGGGAGCAATAGGAGAAGCTAGATTTCTATCAAGCTCATCTCTTACCACATTCATACGTTTTCCAACATCAACATTTCTCTCCACAGTGTCAATCACTGGTTGCTCAATACCCACTCGGAAACTACTGTGCCTTATGACATGTATGATATCGTCAAAAGCTGGTTTGAGCTGAGAAGAAGCCGCTTTTTCAAGAATCACATTCTGTGGAACACTTACCTTGTCTGCCAAAAAATTATTTTGGCTGGCTGAAATAGGAGGGGTGGAAGGGGAGGCACTTTCAGTTGTCGAGGGAAAGAGTTCCTTGGTCAAGAACTTGTCATCACCATTGGCTTTTGAAGTAAGGTTAGAGTGGAGCAGATTGCTTTGGCTTGAGGAAACGAGTGGATTAGTGGGAGAGACACTTGTTGTGGAGGATGACAACTTTGCCAAAGACTTGTCAATACCGCAGGATGCTAAACTGGGGTTAGTCAGATGCAAAATATCAGTGGTAGAATCAGGCTTGCTTGTTGTGGAATCACCCTCACAAATAGCAATCTCTATCAAGTGTGGAGACGCAGTATCCGTAGCTACGTACGAATTTGATCTCTCATTGCAAGTACCAACGTCCAAACTTTGATGATTCTCCTCAAGCTTTTCAATGGAGCCTGCTTCAGATATCTGGTTATCTTCATGGTTTCCCCTAGAACAATAAGCATTATCTGAGTGTGATGATGAAGTAACTGAACACAAAGGTCTTGACCCTATGGTTTCAGTTTCACTAGCTTGTTCATGACTTCCAACCATTTGTTCGGCCAAGTTAGAAAAATGATTTGTTGAATCATCACAAAGTTCAAATCCTTGGATCGACACTGAAGAAGAAGCAGAATTGCTGCTCTCTGTTTGCATTCCTTTAGAAGCTCCTGATGAAACCTTTCGAGAATGCAGCATGCTGTTCTTTGTGGCATGTATTTGACAACCACCAGGAGAAGAACCAGGGATCCTTTCGGGGCCTTTCTTTGTGGCATGTATATGATAGCCATCAGGAAAAGTATTAAGAATCCTTTCGGGGTCATGCGACTTGTCATTTGGACCACACTCTACATCATCGTTCGCAGAATTCAAGGCATCATGACACACTGGCTGTAGCCTTCCAGTAAACGACGGTTGCTTTGTAAATTTAGGTGGTGTTCTCTGTCTGGGCCTTGTAGGTGATCTATCAGGCACGACTTGTCTTATAGTGCCAGAGGGAGAGATTCCCCCGTTTCTTGGTTTATTCTTCGGGGTGGACTCAGTGGTAGGAAACTGCAAGGAAAAGGTAATTAAAATATAGATATTATCAAACTAATAGTCAAGCGCTAGTCAAGATAAGAGGACTAGGGACTTGATACCTGATTCTTCAAAGTAGGTGGTGTATGTGCATTAGATTTCGAGGTAGGAGTAGGTGAACCTGGTTTTAGGACTTTCGGTGATGCTTCAATGTTAGCTTTGCTTGCACCAGTACCACTGACCTTTGTCTTGCCACCTCTCATGGGAGAACTATGTTCCCTCGTTTTTCCCTCTTTCAAAGCCAACATAATATTTTTTATAGTTGTGGGTTGCTTTGCTTCTGCATCACATTTTTTCTCGTCATGCAAAATGTTCCTAGAGTCATAGTCCTCTGCGTCGGCCCCATGATGTTCCTCACTAGAATAATGTTGCTCAAAGTCTTCGTGATCATCAAAGGCAACATTTGTGTTAGTGCCTTTATGGTCATCATTGCAAGTCATTTCCTGCAAGTTCTCGCTCGACTTTAAACTATCTTTATCACTGCATGAACTGGTACTACTTTGGCTGTCTGCCATATTCTTTCCGGAGTCACGACCAGCAGTGAGAGGTTTTTCAGGAGAACTTAATGGAGGAGGACTAAAGGATGGTCGATACTGATCCACATAAGGCTGCAAATATGGGTGCTTCAGGAGTTCCGATGCCTGAAAATATTGAGGTCAGACAATGGACATGACATTCCGACACAAAAATTTAATTGCAAGAATGGTAAGCTTACAGTAGGTCGATGCTCGGGGCTCTTCCTCAGCATTCCTCTAATAACTGTTTTTCTGTGAAAACAATATCCAAATGAAATATAATGACAAACAAATGCACCATCTCAAATAAGCATGTAACAGAAGAATAGAGCATTCACAATGTCAAGATTGAGGCTCGAATTTGTTGTCTGTTGAAAGTTGATAACTTGAACATGTAACATCTTCCAGAAGGATTATGAGTGCACATGATTTCAAATTCTGGTATTTCGAAGTGTTTACATTTGCTTCAAAATAAAGAAATTGTCATGTGCCACGAGGAAGGAGAAGATAGACCATTAAGAACAACTTCTTTTTGATAACCAAGAAATCCTCGAGGCTAGTGGTGTACGGTTCAGAATTCGGTGGATAATGGGGCCATTGCAGAACATTAACAGTTACAAGAAAGGAAAGAAGAAAAATTATCTTCTAAAACATGACTAAATATTCACACACAAATTATCAATTAAACACCTATGAGTAGAAGCTTTAGCACAAAGACAAATTATGCTCGCAAAACAAAGGCCTGACTTACAAGGACGGAGAATAACAAGGTGGCAATGGGCCAATGCATGATCTGTTTATTTTGCTTATCAGTCCTGCCATGTCCTGGATCATTATAAAGTGTATTATGAAGTGTCAAATTTAGTATAAGTAGCAAAAGGTTCTCATTTTGAGGAAACAAACATACAATAAGTTGCATATATATAATGAAATTACACTTATTTGCTCCCACAACCAAGATTCACAGCATCATTCAGCAACAACTATTTTCAAGATTATGCCACACTAAATTATTGATCAATCACACTGATAGCTTCAATAGTTCACTGAATTTTGTCTAGTTCGGTGTTTCACCGGTTACTAATTCAATTTATTTGTAGTAGGCCTCCTTCACCACAACATTAGTGTTCTCAATTTTTGGGCGCACTCCCGCTTTAAGTAGCTAAAACCTCTAATATTTTATCCTTTATCATCATGAATTATTCTTTTATTGCTATCACTTCAGTTTGATTTTATCTTAATGTTTTTGTTAGAGATAAGGGCTTAACTTATTAGGAGTCTAAACTGAGTTCTCTATACAAGTAAGACATTTTGTACTTTGATTTGACATCTACTCCCTCTATCCCTATTTATGTTGCACCGTTTGACTTGGCACAAAGTTCAAGAAAGAAAGCAAGACTTTTTGAAATTTGTTGTCTAAAATAAACCTTAGACATTTGTGCGGCGATAAATCATTTCATTAAGGGTAAAAGGAGAATTTTGAAGTTAAAATTGATTTTAATTATAGAAAGACGACATTCTTTTCGGGACAGACTTGAAAGGAAGAACATCTCTTCAACAATATAATTGGAATTTGGATTTACTTGTCACTTGAATTCACTAACTTACAAAGGAAACCCCCCATCCCAAGGTCTCTATATATGCAGAGCAAGTCATTTAAGCTTCTATTCATAAATTAATCAATAGAGATAAAATATAAGGTCAGTTTCCCATTTCACTATGTATCCGAGGAATTGAAATGGAGATAATAGAAACGAATTCAAGAAGCCTTACAAATGCTTTAAATGCAGGGCGGTGAGCAGCCATTTCATACATACAGCAGCCTGGTCAAGAAATGAATGGATTTAAGACACAGAAGAAGCCCACAATGACATGTATATATCAAATAAACACGAGATTATTGCTACAACAAACCAGTGTCCTCAGAGTTGGGAAAGAAGATAACCTTATGAAATGAAAGGTGTGGTAACAGATGACATACATAGGTGAGAGGTTCATATCTTCCAAAAATTATTGGAAATGAATGTCTACAGAGAACTCCAATACAATTTGGCACCACATTCTAAGTAAGATATAAATGCACTTGAACCAGAATGGAGTAAAGGAGTTACATACCTAAGGACCAAATATCTGATTTAAAACCGTATGGAATATCCGTAAGAAGTTCCGGGCACATGTAATTGGGAGTTCCAACTACCTGGAATATAAAATAACACTATTAGCTTACTGAAACATCTCTTCCACTAAAGTTTTAGCTTATTTAGTTCCATTAAGTGATATCTTCCATTATTTCTAGTTATTTTTTCTTTAGCCTAGCGGGTGGGGACGGGGGAGGGGATGTAGGCTAGGTCATCCCGAATGTAACACTCCTGAGTGTTCGCATCCTTGGTTCCTGTTTTCTCTATGGCTTTGCTAAGTAGGAAAATATTTAGAAACTAAATGTCAGGGTTTATTTAGGCAAAATATAGTTCAGATTGTGCTTAATCATCATGCAAGTTCGTACTGTTGCCCATATCTGATCCAAAATGACACATGTTGGACACAGAGCACATCATCAATAAAATGGATCAGGGTGGAGTAATTCAAAAGAGGTAGAAATAAGATACTGAAGTATGATTTCTGAAATGTATCTACGCCAGTAATAAACAATATAAGACATATGAACCGATGCATGTCTCTAGGTCTGCCTTCTGTTAGACTAACTTTTACAATGTAAATAATTAACCAAATGAATTAAACACCAACTTGATTTACCCGTGCCATGCTGTATCCTACATTTCATTTTAAGAATGTCGAAACTAATTTGAGCTACATAGGTTAGGTGAAAATAACAAATAAAAGCATCGGGTATCAGATACATACTGAAGAAGCCAAGTCATCAGCCGTCAGCGTTTTAGCAAGGCCAAAATCCCCTGGAGAAAAAAGTAAAAGGGAAAAAAAAATGTAGGCCTACATCAGAAAAATCGACCGTATCCATCTTCACTTCAATAAAAGAACAAAAGCATTGGTAGTTACTAGTTACCAAGGCGAACGTTGTGTTCCTTGGTCAGAAAGATGTTTGAGCACTGCCACAGAAAGGTGCAGAAATCACCTCAGAAAATAGATTGGAGAGAAAAAAAAAAATTTAAAACGATATTAACAGATAATAAGATACGCACTTTAAGGTCCCGGTGTAGTACAAAGTTTGAATGCAGATATTCCACTGCCAACAAAATTTGAGTGAACCACTTCAGAAGTTTCTGCATTATGAACATCTCTTGAAGGATTAGACACCCGAAAATGGCAACTAACTGAAGTTTATACTAGAGCAATAATACATTACCCCAACCGATTGAACAAATTAACTCGTAAATTAGCTATAAACTTGTTTTCCTGTGTCCGTAGTCTACAATCTAGATGTACAATTAACATGTCCCAGCAAAATGATAAACTAAAATACATTGTCAACATACCTCTTCTGGAAAATATTGCCCATTTGCTTTTTTCATCAGTTCAGCCCTATCAAAATATGCATTGTTAAACTTAAGTTTAACAGTTAAATTAATGAAAAATGAAAAGTTATATAGAGACTTACATATCACCACCTTCGCAATAGCCGTAACAATGCAAACATAGCAGCCCTACAGTACGATTGACATGAGAGTAAAATAATCACCAATTTCAAGGATATTATACTCAACTCAGCACTTGAAAACAAAATCAGGCTTCTCACCTTCTCTACCCATGCTTCCTTGAACTCGACAATATATGGATGTTGAAGACGAGCAATCAGTGCCATCTGCACATCCAAGTTGCAAGAAAATACATGTCAAGAATTTTGAATAGCTATGCATTTACATAAATTTACATAGAGAAGAGAGTCTCATGCACCAAATAAACAATGAGAACCAAGATGAGAGCATATTGAGATGAAAATTGTACATGATAGAGACAAAATGGAGCACAACTAGAAAACATAAGAATTTAGCCACATTTATTTCTTGAAGTTTCACTTATATAAGTTCCCAGTATAGAGTGAATCAAAGATGTATAATCTTTATCAAGTGATATGAAAACACTCTCAAGGGACAACAAGAGCTAGTCAAGAAATCGGGTAAAATCAGAATCGGCAAAAAGATAAAATTCAATTTTGAAATCAAAAGAAACTAGATAAAGGGATTCCAAGAGCATCCCTGGTCCCAAATAGAAGTGAACTTCAAACTCAATAGTTGATGAACATAAGCTATTCACGACAAAAAAGCCATCATATTCAAACTTTTAAGCTAAAGAAAATATTTTTATTTCCAGTACACTCTGCCTGAAATATACTATTCAGGAGAAAAAGCCATCACACTCAATGATTTAAGCTAAAGACAATCTTCTCTTCTTCCGGCACCAAAATTTCTGTATCCTTATTTAATGGCCTGTTTGGTTCCAAAATCTGCTTATTTTGAAATGTGTCTTTTGTCAGAGGTGCTTTCCAAAAAATAACATCGGAGAGTAGTAATTTGTATTTGGCTAATCCATTTGTAAAACACTTTGCTAATATTAGAGCAACAATTTGTGCTTGGCCAAGGTCAAAGAAGTGCTTCTGGAGCAAAACTACTTTCTTCAGTTCTGAAATGCAGCTCTTGCTACTACTCAAAAATACTTACTTTTTTCCTAAAAGCTCAGCCAAACAGCTCAACTCTATAAAATAAACACTTTTGACTTCCTCAAAAACTTGGCGAAACAGGCTATTAGTAACTCTTGATGCACAAAATGCAAAAACCATAACCAAATAAAATTGAGAAACAACACAATGTACTACCTCTTGATGAGCAGATCTCCTGCAACGTTCAGTTTGTCGAGCTAATCGAATCTTCTTGAGCACATACCTATAAATTCAAGATACCCCACAAAGAAACAAAATCAATAATACATCAAATTCAAATCTTATAAGCATTTTCAAGAAAAAACCAATCTTTTTAATTACTTCTTTCTTTCTTGCTTGTGATTAACTAAAATAGCAGCACCAAATGCTCCACGCCCAATCTGTTCCATTACCTCATAATGTTCCATTCTTGACTCCATTACTAAAAATCCTAAACTAAACACTTCAAAGAAATCCAAAAAAACAAAAAAATATGCCAAGAACTCTCAAAAATCAGTCACACCATTTTCTTCATCAGTCAAAAAAACTGAAAATTCAATCTTTACAGATCAATCCCAAAGAAAAGAAGAAAACTTTGATACCCTTTAACACAAAACACATAAAGATTGCATTTTTATTCAAGACTTTGATACCCATAAACACAAAACACATAAAAATTGCATTTTTGTTCAAGAATGATAAGTTTGGACTCAAAATAGGCTTTTGGGTATTTGAGAAATCAAATGTAGAACACTTTTCTAGGTGAAAAAAGAAAAAGGGGTGGATCTTCTTAGAGTGAGTGATGTATTGCTCCTCTTTTCTTAAAAAAATAATAATTAAAAATCTATATTATTATTATTAGTATAAGTACTATAGTATTTTGCTTCTTTATTTTGTTGAAGAAAAGGGGTTGATCTGAAGAAACAGCTGTCACAGTTCTCAGCTCTGATGAATGCATATGTGGAGTGGAAGAGCATCTATGAATTATTTTTTAATTGATAATTGATAGTCAAGCAATTCCAAATTTTCAATAATATGTGATTCACTATGTTCTATTTTAATTTATATCAGAAAGAATAATAATTTTTTATTTAGAAATAATTTAATTTTAAACTTATTATTTTATAAGATAGTTATTACAATTCTTGCCATTTCATAATATTGTGCTATATTATGTTATAGTATTTTATTTAGTATAATATTTAGTTAGATTGTATCGGATCTCATTATTTCATAATATCCTACATTAATAATCTCAAAAATAATTTTTGTAGTATTTTTTTTTTATAAAATAAAAAAAAAATGTAGATAAATAAATTAAGGATGTTCAAAGAATTAAATATTATAATTAATAAAATTAAATAACAATCAAAGCAAATACTATATAAAAATAATAATAATAATAATAATAATAATAATAACAACAACAACAACAACTATCCAAAATGCAAACAAGTTGTTAATGATCTAATTTATAATGACATAAATAATCATAAATTATTTTAAACTAGGTAAATTTTCCGCGCTTCGCGCGGTGGTGAACTACGTCAATAAATTACTTCTGAATATTTGATAATATGAGTATTTTTGAGTGGGTACAACTAGGGGTGTTCACGGGTTGGTTTGGATCGGTTATTGGTCAAAACCAAAACCAAACCAACTTAATCGGTTTTAGAATTATCAAAACGAAACCAAACCAAATATAATATACATTTACCGGTTTGGTGGTTATCGGTTTTGGTTTGGTTTGGTTCAGTTATTCGGTTATTAACCATACACATAAATAAAAGAAACAATTCATTCAATATGTGAAAAAAAGTGACAACAATCCATTCAAAACAAAAAATAGTTAGAATGACTTAAATTATCAAACTTTCGATCACTGAATTTACTATCAATAAAACTTTAAAATTCACTATATTGGCCAAGAAGGAAGAGACAATAACATTTTCAGTCCCACAAAGAATTGTCATAGACACTCATATTACATGAAATCAATAAGATAAATGTTTTCGCCTTGAGAATTCTGGCTTTCAATAAGTAAAGTATAAAGAAATTTTAATGAAAACATATATAAGATCTTTAAAATTGTTTATAAAAAAATATATTAAGTATATTCATAAAATATATGTATATAATTCATCAGTTTGGTTCGGTTATTTCTTCAGTTTTTTCAAATAAAACCATAACCAAACCAAATACTACCGGTTTTCAAATATCTAAAACCAAACCAAACCAAATCCAAATAAAATCGGTTTTATTTTATTGGTTTGGTTTGATTTTTCGGTTTGGATCGATTTTTATCCAAACCGTGAACACCCCAAGGTACAACCCTACGATAAATTGTTAAGAATATTTTTTATTCCAAGTGTTAATGCATTTTGTAATTAATTCATCACCAAAGTCTTTAGAAAAGATGTGTAATTGTTTAATTGTTTATATTTGTATTTTCAAAAGGTGGTACAAACATTTTATTCATCAATTGCGAGAGTTTTCTACTATTCAAGACCTCTACATACACAATCTAAATATTATACATCTTATATATTTAGTTGTTCACTTGATAAGTTAATTAAAATTTAAAAACACATCTCTTGGAGTTCAATGGAATAACGTATGTCGCTCAAATAATTTGGATTAAATGATGTCTTGGCAAGTCCCTTATTCAAAATCATTCGCAGTCGATGACACTACATTGATAGCCAAAAGACTATTTTGTTGTTTATGTTTCAATAAATATGGTTAAAACTTTATTTTTTTTTTGCGACTTTTAATCTAATGTTTATAAGGAGATAATTATTTCTTTAATATTTGATTAATATAGATTCATCCTTCTTTGAGGGGTAATTAATTGACTCTAATCCAACATTTGAACCCCAAACTTTTGATTAAGGTTGAGTACAATACTTACAAGCCCACTAAATTCCATTATATTTTTTATGTCACTAATCGATTGAATGCCTCGATAAGATAGAAAGTTGAATAGCTAAAACTCCAAGGTAGTGTGGAACCAACATAACTTTTGAACACTCAAAAGTCCCTTCTTGGACATCCCAAAAATCTTTTAGCCACTAAAAACTCTATAAAGATCAAAGTCATTTATTTTACAAGTTTAAGAATTATAATCTACATGATACCAATAGTCTAATGATTACATCAAACTCTTGATTAACATATCTACATAATGATCAAAAGCATAACTAAGGCTGGCAAACGGACCGGTTTTTGTCCGGTCCGATTCCCGTACCGGTAAGACCGGTACCGGTTGAACCGGTAAGGAACCGGTCTTATAGGTACCGGAACCGGTACCGAAACGGAACCCGGATTTTTATCCGGTTGATCCGGTCCGGTAAGAACCGGTTCCGGTCCGGTTCAACGGTCAATTTAATTTTATTTTTTAAAAAAAAATAAAATGTGAAAGTTAAGGAGCCGTTGGACCCTTTTAGCCGTTGGGCTGGGGCCCAAAACGGCTCCAAACAGCCCCCCCACCCCTCTCTACCCCTTAACACTATAAATATACTCATATTTTTTCATTTAAATCACAAATTCACAAACTATTTCATTAATATCTTATAAAATCTCTTAATTTTCAATCTCTCATAGATTCATAATTATTATTTTATGATATTGACTTGGAGTTTGAATTTCGGAGATTTATTTGAAGTAAATCGGAAGCTTCAATTGGCATCTCTCAATTCCAGCTTTGGTTATACGTCTACTTTTACGTAGACGTTCGGTACATTCGTTCCAACTTTAATTATTTATTTATTTATTAATTAAGTTATTTTATTTTTTTGTTATATTATCTTTGCTTGTTTTTCATAATATTAATTATTTTAAACTTGAACATGAATTTTGAAAAATATAGTGGTAAAAGACCAATGTCGGAAAGAAAAAATAATAGGGGAGGAGGAAGTAGTTCTAATTCTAAAAATTTGCCACCTCCTAGATTTAGAATTAATACTAATGATTATACTCATGTTGATGAAACTTCTTTTACACGAGACTCACGACCTATTGAATTTAATTCCGAAAATGAAGTAGATCATGAAACTTTAAATAGATGTTTTACTAATTTTGAGGAAGAATTAGATGAGGAAGTAGAAATAAATGAGGAAGATGATGAGACCCCTACCCCTACTAGTCCGGCTACCGAATTACCGGAACAAGATGAAGTCCCCTCTTTACCTACTTTTTCAAAGACCGTTGTACGTGTTAAAAGATCTTTAGTATGGAAATTTTTGGTACAAAATGAGGAAAAAACTACTGTTACTTGCACGAAATGTAAATTGATCATGAAACATGTAACTACGGGTACACAAGGGGGAACGGGACGACTAAGAACACATTTAAGAAAGTGTAATAAAGAATTTGCTCGCCTAGATGATATAGAAAGGGCTAATAGAAATGGGATACCTCAACCTGAAAATTCTATGGGAGCTGGAGGTTCTAATATGGTTCAAAGTGTATTAAATATGACTAACCCGGTTAGCCGAAGTACACACCGCACATATAGTAAAGAAAAAGATCGTAGAGAATTAGCTAAAATGGTTGCTGTTTGTGGTTTGCCTTTTTCATTTCCTTCACATCCTGGTTTTATTCAGTATATTCGGGAATTGTATAACTCAGATTATGAAGGTATTCCAAGAAGTACAATTAAAAGTGATCTTTTTAAATATCAAAAGAATATTGTCATTTTCTTCGTTGTTTATTTGTTTATTATGATGGTAGATTATCTATTACTTCTGATATGGGACGCAGTCCTACTGGTAATGATTATTTTACAATTACTGTCCATTGGATTGACCATGAATGGAACATGCAAAAACGAATATTAGGATATAAATATGTTGAAGAAACTAAAACCGGTGCTTATATAGCAACAAAAATAGGCCTTGTTTTACAATTTTATGGAATATGTGATAAAATAATGAGTGTCACTTTAGATAATGCTTCTAATAATTTGAAAGCAATTGATTATTTAAAATGTAGACTTTGTCCAATTGATAATGATTCTTTTCATATTAAGTGTGCCGCACATGTGTATAATTTGATAGTAAAAGATGGTGTTTCTCAATTTGGAATTTTTTGTGAAAAAATTAGACTTGCTTGTAATTGGATTTTTAAAGCTAAAATAAAAGCTAGAATTACAGAATTTAAAAATCGTTGTAAAGAATGTGGACTTGAATATAGAAAAGTTCCAAAAGAAGTATGCACTAGATGGAATTCTTTATTTGAAATGCTTCAAGTTGCTTATATTTATCAAGAGCCGGTACAATTAGTTTTTAATGCTCATAATGCGGACCCGAATTAGAGAATTGGCTATGAAGATTGGGAAAATACAAAAGAACTTATTGAATTTTTAAGTGTTTTTTATAAAGCAACAAATGCTGCTTCTGGTCAATATTATCCAACTATTTCTTCTGTTTTAGTAAATATTTGTGCTATTTCATCTGAATTTGCAAAATATAAAGGAAAAGATCGATTTGAAAATTCCCTTGCTTTTATGATTGAAAAATTCAAAAAATATTTTTCCCCTCTTCCTCAAATCTATTTGACTGCTACTACTTTCAACCCAAATTACAAATTAAAAGGTGTTGAAAGAATGGTTGAAAAGATTTGAGCAAATTTAGAAATTAGAGATGATGAAACTCCTAGTGTTGAAGATTGTAAAAGTAGCATATATATAAAAGCTAGAGAGTTATATAATACATATAAATCTATGGAAAAAAATATTCCAATAGTTGAACCTTCATCTTGTAAACCTAGAAGCGATGATACGGATGATTGGATGGATGATTATCTTGAGCTTGA